CTCGCCCAGTGCAATGACGTCAGTGGTAGCGGCGGCGGCGGCGGCGGCACCCGTCACCGCGGAGCTCGCCAGCGCCGCCGACAGCATCTCAGCCGTTACTGGCAGCTGTAGCATCGCCGTCGACCGAGGCGCCACGTCAGCGGAGGCGCCGGCATCGACGTCGTACCAGCCTCCATCATAAAGCGGTGCAGCGGCATCGGCGGCGGCGGCCGCTTCGACCCGCACATGTACGACAACCTCCGGCGCAGCCTCCCGTGCCGCCGCCACCATTTCCTTGACCAGCGCAGGCTTGCCGTTCAGCAGCAGACGCCATTGTACGGCAATGTTTGACGTTGCGCAAATGTCGTACTTGTTGCTGATGCGCAGTACGAGTGGCGATGCCGCAGCTACGCCAGCAGCAGCTGTAGCAGCAGCAGCTTCCTCGTCAGCAACCCACTCGAACGCGATCGGCGCCATAACTGCTCTTGCCTGCAGCAAGGGACAAACCCCGGCAGATACACAGCACCAGACAGATATACATATACATATACCGACATACATCTTTCATACACCAGGCTAAAGAGGTTGTCAAGTACACAGCCCCGCCATCATCACCTCCTGGACACTTACAGACATACATGCACGCATACAGACGAACATCCAGTCTTGAAACCACCATCATGGATGTCGTACTGCTGCTTAGCTGTCGAATCTTAGATCTCCTTCACGTGCTCCCACACTCACTCACTCAAACCCAAGTGTAATGCGCCTGCACTTTCATCTCACGGCCTAGTCCATTTAAGCACATACATACATGCATACATACACACACAGAGAGACGTACTTACACACAGAGAGACGTACTTACACACGCACCTCATACAATGCGGGGTGCGGCGAACGGTCGGGAAAGACGAGTCCGTTGCAACAAAACTGGCCGTCATTAGGCGCGTCGCCAAAATCACCGCCGTACGCCCAATACTCCACCTGCCCACCGTACGCGACAATGGTTTGGGCGGTGTGAAAAATGAAGCGAAGGCGGGTTCCTGAGTTTTGACCCCCCCCCCTGGGTCAGGAAACCCTAAAGGGGTGTCTTCTTTAGGGGGCAACCCCTTAGGGGATGAAGAACTAAAGGGGACCATCCCCTTGTTTTCCCCTTCTTGTTCTTCTTGTAAAACCCTAAAACCCTAAGTGCCCGCCACCCGGCGATTCTTACCTCGCTCCCATCGCCCCGGCGGGTGACCGTCGTAAGGCACTGGTCCGCCCAATCCCAGATAAATCCGCCGGCTAGGGACGGGTGCGAGTGGAAGGCCGTCCAGTACTGATCCAAATTACCGGTGCTGTGGGGTGGGGTGGGTTGTGGGGTGGGGTGGGTTGTGGTGTGGTG